GGGGGGAAATTAGAGGGGAGTTTGATAGATATGAAAACAGTCGGAATGGGATCAACACAGTTAGGCGAAATTAAAACACTTTTACTGAAGGGGAAAAGAAATAAAACGATAAAACTTGTTTTGTGAGTAGGGAGAAAAGGTGTATTGTGGTTAGGGGTCTTAGGACTGGCTTCTGGGGTTGGTCTTGGCTTCTGGGGGCAAAACAAAACAGAACAAAAACAATTTATAGCTATAGCTAAACAGAAAACAAAGGCCAGGGAACCCTAACTCAAATAATCGAGGCCACCTGACTGTTCTCTCAAGCCCCACAGAGAACGCGAGGGTCTCGTGTTGTGTTATGTATGGAGCGCCGTCAGGTTCTGCCCGGTCGTGGCTCCAGGTTGGTTTGGAAGAACCATTAGATCCGCAAAAGCCAAGCCAAGGAGCTGAAATGTGCTGATGGGGCGGTTCTGCCAGCCTCACCACTTCATGGCCTCTGGCCTCCTCGGGGGAGCTGCCGGTCCCAGCCCAGCGCCACAGCCTGCCAGTACAGGAGCCGCTTGGCAGGGCCCCCTTTCTGCTCCATGTCAAATGCAAAGGGGACGCCGAGAAACGATTTTGGGCCGGTAATATTTGCTTATTGTACACTTGCACCATTAACTGCCCACAATGAATCATGAAAAACCATATTTGAAAGGCTCACCAAACCCATAAGCCGCGTCTCAGTGAGTGCGACACGGGCCAGTAGACGTATCCAGTGACACGCCATGAAAAAGCCAGAGTCCAGGGGCAGCTTATTCTCAGTAGCGTTTAGGACAGCTGTGTTATCCTTTCTCTGCCTTCCAAGTGGCCCATTTATGTTTGCCAGTCCAACCTGAAAGCGAGTGGAAGTCATCTGTGAAGATGTTATCCCGCTCGTCTCAACTGTCAACAGGCAGGTCGTTCAGCTGCCGTGCTTTGTGTCTTACACTCAGAGGGTTTGGTCCTTTGATCTTCCAAGCTCTCAATCTCTAAGCTTCTTAGCCCTCCCCCCCCCCCCCACACACACACACACAAAAATCCCACTCTAAGCAGCTGCCTGTTTTGGGAAATGTCTTGCAGTGTGAGAGCAGATACCAATCCCTCAGGCAAGGTACTGCTTCACTACATTACCCATGACCCTTTGCATCTAAAAATTGTGTGCCTGTGTAGACATTGAGTATATAGGGAGTAATCAAGCATGTATTATACAATCAGAGAAGTCTTAGATGATTCACAGTGTTAATTACAGCACATTTTACTCTCTCTGTTCTCACTCGTTCGATAAGTGGAAAATGCACCATTGCTACTGTTTGTTTACATTGAACACTTCACGTCAGGGAGAAAAATATTAAAATCCAGTCACTCATTCCTGTGTCCATATTCCACAAAATTTTTATAATGTGGAAAAAACGTTAAATGTCCTGGCTGAAGAGGAATTTTCCTTGGAGCAACAAAGTTTACATTTCAATGAAGTGATATGGGGGGCAAATATCAAATAATATTCTGGAAAGTGCAGATACTAAGTTGACTGTAGGGCTTTAAGGATACTCCTGTAGACTGTTAATATTTCAGAGTATTTAAGAGTATTGCCCCCGTGTGAGTATTTTACAATGTTACTTCAAGCTGGTAGTATTTGAGAATGTTTTCTAATACTCTTTCTGACGGTCTTGATATTTAAGAATATTTCTTCTGACTATGAAAATTTTAGAATAACCTTTAACGGTCTTGATATTCAAGAATATTACTCTTGACTGTGTTCATTTTTAGAATAATCTTTTCCTATCTTGGTATTTAAGTCTCTGTCAATATTTTAGAAAATTTTAGAATAATCTGGCTATTTGATATTTAAGAATATTAATTATGACTGTTAGTATTTTAGAAAATTCCTCCAGTGTTATTTTAAAATATTTTACAATAACATTTGTCTTTTAGAATATTCCTTCTGATTGTGTTAACATATGAGAATATTTTATAATAATCTTCCTGTCTTGATGTTTTCGAAAATTTCTCCTGACTGTTAATATTTAAAAATATTTTAGAATAGACTCTTGACTGTCCTGATATTTTCCTATATTTCTTCCATTAATATTTTATAATGTCTTGTAAGATTACTTTTGACTATATTAAAAGTTGAGAATATTTCGTAATACTCATCACGTTTTGATGATTTATTATGCTTTTTCTCACTGGTTATTTATTTTTGATTTCTTTTGCACATTCTCCCTGCACGTGCTGATGCTGTCGCACTCCCTCTCCCAGGTCCATGGAAATGCAGGACTTAGCCAGTCCTCACAATCGCATGAGCAGCGCTGACACTTCGGCTTCCAAGCTGGACAAGACCAGCTTGGGTGGGACTCCGATTACATCCAATGGGACTGGAGGTAAGCGGGCCAAACATTTTCCCTGGGGCACTCGTGCTGCGGTTCCCTCGGACCCAGCAGGCCTCTGGGGTGCTTCGGGCTACCGGGCCAGCTCTCTTAGCCCCGGCCGGATGGCTACGTCCTCACTGCTCAGTCAGACGGCGCGTACACGTCACGGAGATTCCGGTGAAGCTTACTGGAAATGGCACCCCTGCTTTCCGTGCCTGAGTGGCATCGGGGCATCATGGGAAACGAAAGCCGATAGGCGTTTCATGGGCGCAGCTCCCGGCCTGCAGCGAGGCTGCCGCCCCCACTTTGATGTGGCGTGGGCGCGCGGTTCGTCATGACAACACGGCCACCTACTCAAACCACTGAAGACGCATGTGAATGCTGAGCATGGCTCTCCGACTCCTCTGAAAAACCACTCCTTGGACCGTCTCGGTCTGGTTTTTTTGATTCAGTTCCCAGACCAAGTTGGTAATGACATCCAAGAAAATAACAAAATGCATTAAATCCCAATTTCTTTTATATGTCATCACCAGTGATGTTTTTTTTTTCCTTTTTGAAATATTCTACAGGGCAAATAAAAATGTCACTCAAGCAGTTTCATTGAAGATTGAAGATTGATCTTTTCTGGAAAGTGTCATGCCTTCAATTTTTTTTCCACGTTGTTTTTAACAAGCAGAATTCTAACTGTTTTTTTTTTTTTTAGGTTAGACAATTGACAATTGTTTTTTTATAAGGTGGTGATTTCGGAGAAGCATAAAATGCATTACATGACTGTCGCAACGTAAATGATTTTAGCAGGAATGTATGAATGCTGACCTGCTCTCAGGATATTCAAAATCTGCATTCTTTATGAGATTCACCACAGTCACACACTGGACTCACGCTGCCTCATTCTGGCAAAGTCTGTACTTATTTGATGATCATGATCACTTTATTCATTGCGTCGGTCTGGGTTCTGCTACACTAACGTTAGCATGGAGCATGTTGCTACAAGATCGTATTGATGTTGGCTGGCTTTAGAGTCTTTGCCCCTGGGCATAATTAGTGTTAGCTGTAGCAGTAGTTAGCATTAGCAGGAAGCACATTGCTCATAGCCAGTGTTAGCAGTAACATTAGCTAGCTTTAGATTCTCAATGCCCCTGGGCATAATAAGTGTTAGCTTTAGCATTAGCATGACCGGCATCGCTCCCAGAAAGGCCTGCTCTTCCAGAGGCCAGCAGTAACACCCACAGGACCTGGAACGTCTTCATCGCCCTGGCTTGGGCCCTTTCCATCACACGCTGTCCGTACTGTTGCCCCCGCTGAGCGATTCCACACTTGTGAGGCCCCCAGGAGGTAAAAGTCCTCCAGGTTCCATCCGCCAGTCTTCCATCCTGGATTTGTTCTTTGTCGACACGAAGCAAAGCCGCAAGTTCTTTTTTTTTGCCAGAATTTATATCCCTTCATCTCACGCTGTTTTCATTTGTATCAAACTATCCTCTAATTCCCCCCACCCCCCACCCCCTACTTTTCGTCCTGACCCCAACCCCCTTATCTCCATTGTTTGATTTGTGGGATTATTTTTTAAAGTGTGTTTATATATGAACTTATTACATAACGTGAACGTGGACCAGGATCCTCTGACAGCCATATTGTGGCTCTATTTATTTATGGGAACCCTAGAAAGGGGTCCAATCAGACCCCAGCTCAATTCCCAGTCTCCTACAGGCAGTGTTTTCGCCAGTGCTGAAGTCTGGGAGGCCTGAAAAGCAGTCGGATGAGCTGGGACTGCCCACTGTGTCACTCTCAGACTCCCCGAGTTTGGGCTTGGGCCCAAGCGGCGGATGCGCGGTAACTCTCCCTTCCACCCTTCAGGCGAGAGCATGACTGTTCTCAACACCGCCGACTGGCTCCTAGGCTGCAGCGCCCCCTCCTCCGCGCCAAGTATGGACCCTGGTACTGTGCATGACGGCCTGAGGTTGCAGTGCTCCGGGTTCGAGTTTGCAGTGTGTGTGTGCTGGGAAGGACAGGGTCCGGGTACGAACAATGTCTGCAGATGTCAGGCAGGAATTAGGAACTGGGAATTATTTTTTTAAGGGAAATAGCCTGTTAAAGATAATATTTATCTGTGTGTTTAAGACGGGTTCCTTTCTAACATTGCATCTGAATATTGCTATCAGGGTTTCCCCCAGAAATTTAGCTAGCTGGAACGCTGTCGGGTTTTTTTTCTCACCGACGAAATGACTACAAACCGCCAGTTTCCGTAACCGCGGTGTAACTGCGGCGACGGCCTGTTCCTGGGGCCTCTTGTTTGTTGTTTTTCCGCGCGACTTTAGCGGTGAGCCGAGCGCTGCCGGTTAGCCGAAAGCGCCGGCGTGGCGGTGTGAGTTTCAGGCCCGGCAGACGGCCGCGCCCTTCAGTCACTGGGGGAAATCCAGGCCGTGTCTGAAGCAGGGTGCATGGGGAGCATTGCTGCTCTGAGTGGTCGAGTGACTCCATAGTCAAGGGAGGCAGCTGTCTGTGACTCCTGCTCTGAGGGGGGTAGCTGTGTGTGAATTCTTTTCTGAGGGGGTAGCTGTGTGACTCCTGCTCTGAGGAGGGTAACTGTGTGTGACTCTTCCTCTGAGGGGGGTAGCTGTGTGTGACTCCTGTTCTGAGGGGGGTAGCTGTGTGTGACTCTGTT